TTAGCCCTTTGCTGTTGTGTTGTTATCTGTCTCCCCTGAATCCACTTTGAGTTGGTGCAGCCATCACAGCTAGCCTCATCCATTACAACCACCACTGGCCGTTACCACATGAGTAGGGTTACAGGAAATAAAGGGGAGGAAGGGGAGAGGGTGGAACACACTGTCACAGCACCAAACAAACAAAGTCAACAAAGCCTACCCACCTTTGACACCCTCAATTTTAAGAATCCTGAAGTGGAATGTGTGGATGTACTTAATGCATGAGTGACATCAAGCCACATTTACTTACTTTTTCCAAATACTGAGTCCTAAAAGCTGAGAAAAATGGCTCGCAATGTTCATAAAAATGATTTGACCTGAATGGAATACGTACTGCTGATGGTATAAGGAAAAGAGGTGGCAATAAGCAGCAAGGTGAAAGCCATGAAGCGCACAGCCGTATTAGCATGCTGAACTTTTCAAACAGTGACAAAATTATTCTTTCAGTGCCTGTTTCTTCAATGCAGTATCAGATAGAATTCCTGCACAGGCTTTAATGAACCATGAAATCAAGTTACCCTTCTGTGAGACTGAAGGTACTGTATGTTATAGTATAGCTTAATGCAAAATACACGTGTTAGGAATATATTTCATTCCAAAAAATGAAGAATTATACCTGCCTTTCCACATGTGCAGAATGACTTTTTTTGAAGTGTTGTCTTTAATTTCATCAGTGTGTATTATCCTTGGGAAATAGCTTTCATTTCATTTCACCTGTGATTAATTTAGGCTCCCAAAATTGTAGTACCTTTGTGAAAGATATCTTGGGGCCTATTCTACTGATAGAAAGAACTGAGCAATTAATTCAACCTGTGATGGTTTAAGCTGTTCCATTAACAAATAAATGAACAAAAGAATCTTTCCTGAAAATTATAGTTATGCACCTAGTGTGATCGTTGTGGACATTTCTTAGTATTTATTCTGGAATCTGTAATACTAATGGATGACTGGAATGGTCCCATTTACGAAACAACAGCCAAATAAAGAGTTCAATTCAAAGCTGTGCAGTCCAGTAAATTATCACCTATGTACTTGCAGGGGAGCAGCTGAATGTAGTCATTAAAGTTAGGCAGCATCCCCAGTGAGCAATTTTCACCAGTCTTTTTTCCAGAGGTTCTGGCTTCAGTTTGCAAGTGTTCCTGGCCTTTCTTTATAAACCATTCTCTTTGATTTTAAGGCCCAGAAAGAGGTCAGGAAAACTTCCTGACAGGCTGAAGCAGGGTAATCCTTATCCAGAGCAGGTTGTAGCTTGCTTTGATTCACCACAAGAGACTGCAGATGCTGATAGAATATACAGGCTGAGAAAGAAATTAGGCAAATTCCTGGGCAGTGGATCTATAAACAGCCACTAACAGGAATGGGCATAAATATGCCCTCTGTCTAGCATGCTTAATGCGCTGAATGGATGATGGGAGAGTGCAAAAACAAATCAACCACAAGTAGCAGCAAAACTCAGCTCTTGTCTCTAAATAGTGGCTCCCATTGCCCCTGTCAGGTGAGATGGGCTGTGTTCATAGCAATATCAATTTGTGTTGCTATTTCCAAAGTAACGTGCTGAAAATGGGAAAGAACTGGGACAGAGAGCCAAGGGAAGAGCCTTGGATAGTCACCACTGTTGCTCCCTTGTTTCCAGAAGTTATAAAGGGTGCATAAGAGTAACTGCTGGAGCAGAGAACAGCCTCCTCCCTTTCAGCAGAAGCAACACATTTGCAGTCGTCCTTCAGTAGCCATGGGAGTCACCCAGGCTTTGCAGATCCATCTTGCAAGAAGTGCTGTCTTTTACTGAAGGAAGAATGAAGAGGTTGGAGGAAGTTTCTATGGGGAGGAGATGGTGAATGAAAGAGAAGCATTTAGCTTCTCCAGGTAGTTTACAAATATGAAATACATCATCAGCCCTCTGACGGCTCTATTGTGAATGGGGTTTCCTGAATGCAGGGTGTCACAGAGAATCTGCCCACTTTATTCAGCTCCCTAATCTGAGTTCTCATGGTATTGTGGCTTCAGATATTTGTGCTGAGCAGTTTTGAAATAACAGCCCTAAAAGGGTGAAAGTAATGCCTTTTTAATTAGTTGCATTTAAAAATAATAAAACTAATTGGTTTTATTAAGTGTTTGGTAGAATATAAAGTGTGCTTTTTAAAGTTAGACATTTTGAGACTGTTCACCTACGTTAGAAATAAATATATTATTGACTGTTAAGAGTTCTGTTCATGCTACATTAACTTTGGCTGGGTATGTTTTTACATTAAATGAAATGGTTCACACAAAGATACATTTAGGAGATGAAAAAGGAATCACTTTTTTATGACACTAAGAGATCTGTGAGACTACAAAAATATTCCCATAGTCCTTTCTCCTGAATGTTCTGTAGAGGCGGAGCAGTTCTGGATAGAAGACACTTATGACCAGGTTCTTCACATACTTTGACTGAATAACTGCAAATGTAATGGGCTAACACTGCACATAGACTCAAACCAGAACTCGCATTTTGCATTAATTTTAACTGAAGTCCAGCACTGCAAAGCCGTTGCAACCACTGTTAACTGTATTGAATGTAAACGTGATAGGGTGGGTTTTTTTGTGTGAGAGAGATCCGAATCATTAAAAATATGGATTGAATCTGATGTTCCAGCCATACTTATATGCCCACATGCTTCATTAAAATAAGCCATTTTGCCCTTAGAAGACCGTTGTCACACCATGGCTATTAACTTAGTCTGTAAGCTTAATGAACCTCCTGAAAGCTGGATATCTGTTGTCCATTTTTCTGGTATCCACATCTTAGTTGGATACCATCATTACTTTTCTGCTAAGTGACTGAGTAATAAACACGCAACAGCTTGCAAGTAGCTTTTTTTCAAGAAGGGTCATGGAAAGGCATCCTGGTCATAATTCAGTACACACAAACTTCTTGCAGCAGCACTCAAAGGAGAGATAGTTTTTGCACAAAAGAGCACTTCTGCATCAAGACTTGATTCTGATCAAAATCCCAAGGGAGGCAGAAATTTTCTCTCCTGTTACTTCTTCTTATGATGGTGTTTGTCCACAGAAGCTTGGGGAAAAACAGTCAGTCAACGACAACAACAAAAAATAGCTACGTCCTGACTCAAAATATGATCCTATAAGGAAAGGTAACTTCAAAATGAGAAGAATTATACAGTAGGAGCTTCAGATATCATTAATGCTGTAGTTGAATCCTGTATCTGTCATTCATTCACTGTAGAATTTACACTTTACATGCTTATTAAATAATCTTTAAGAAGCCAGGGCTATGTATTCTCATACCAGATGGATTGTACTGCAGGTTGGCAGTGCTGCTGCAGCATTCACCTGGCACGCTCTTCTGACTTGCAGCACTTAGTTCAATGATAATCAGAAGCTAATATGACCAGTTTAGGGTCCAGAATCAAGTCATACTAGTACCATACCCATTGCATTAGCACTACAGCTGAATATCATACTGTGCAGCAGAGGAACAGCTCGTAAAACCTTCAGCCATCACAAAGTTTTCACGCTGTTGTATTTTCAATAGTGTTACTTTATATGATGTTTAACAACTCAAAAGCATTGAACACAAGTGTTTTCAGTGAGCTGTCCCCTTTTGAGGTTTGGTGGCTTTTAACATGTGTCTCCATCTCTGGAATTTACTTTGGAGTTTTGTGTGAGTTACTGTCGACATATGTCTGGGTTAAATAGATATATGGTCTAGATGATGAAATCTTATAATGAAATGGCTATTTTTAGGATTATGGATGTTGTTTTCTGGAGATGTGCAGGATGCTCAATCAGGAGATAATGAAAAGTAGAATAGCTGTTATGTAAGATTTTACTCGTAAGATTTATTATATTCCATGCAAATAGCTTCATTTGATTTTATGAGGAAACACTGGCATCGGAAATACTGGCAGCAATTACATGAGGGGTAGAAGACATTTTAAAGAAACATGTTTATAGGCTGAGTTCAATCACGTTTTCTAAATGTGAAAAATCACTGAGATAAGTACATTGAGATTGATTGAGTTATTCACATGGGTTTGAAGTTAAGCTCAGACTTAAGTGTCTTGCTCAACTGGAGGAATCAAAAGAAACCTTCCAGTCTGGGTGATTTTCCAAATCAGAAATAGGGGGGATTTGTTTGTTTATTTCCACATAAGAGGCTTAGTTAGTCCAGAAGCATTAGAAATAAACTTGGGCCGGTATATGAAAATAACTATGATACAGACCCAGTGCCAAGAAATATAATTATATCAAAGTTCAGATCACGTTTGCTCAAGTATTAAATTCTGTCTATCGATGTATCTGTCTCTCTCTATATATATAAATACACATGCACACACATTTTTTTGAAAGGGTTAACATGCTTTTGGAGTTTGGTAATCATAGAATCATAGACTGATTAGGGTTGGAAAGGACCTTAAGATATCTCTTCATGCATTCCTTTGGACCAGCTGGAGAGAGCATGATGAACATGTTTGTTTCCAAGTGAAGAGGGATTAATTTTCAATTAAAAGCTGTTACTAAAAAAGGGAGAGAGAAAAAAAGAAAATGAATGCACCTTTCTGTGCAGCATTTGTGGTCTGCTATTGAATAATCCATCTGATAGCTTACTGTATGAATTTGAAAGTAATTGAAAAGAATTATGGAAACCTGCCCACATATTTTCATTATCTAAACTGAGAACAATTAAAAAGCTAAACAAAGAGCATACAAGATAAAAAATACTTCATTAATTTCAATCCTTATAAATTGCATGAATACAGAATGGAGAATGTGGTTTGTTTACCTGGATAGGTCCGTTGAATTGCTCAGTATCAATGACTGAATTTGTTTGCCAGAAGTGCGGTAAGGCTTGTCCAGTTACATGCTGGTAACATCTGCATATTAAACATCTGAGCCTAAATAGTGCATTGTGTGAAGCTCTACCTCATTGATACATAACCTTGCATTTTCATTCCTTGCAGAAGGGAATCCATATACCTGGTGGGTTGGCAAAGCCAATGAGAAGCACTACTACTGGGGTGGATCAGGACCTGGCATTCAAAAATGTGCCTGCGGCATTGAACGCAACTGTACAGATCCCAAGTACTACTGCAACTGCGATGCTGACTATAAGCAATGGTGAGTGGCTTACCATTCTCACCAAGGGTGAGAATGACCAGAATCTCTCTTAACTTTAGAACACTGCCATTATTTTGAATGTCTTTTGTTTGCATATTTCCTTTCTTGACAAAGAACAAGGGCAAAATGTGATCCCTCCTGCAAAGTATCATTTCAGTTTCATTCACAGTATCTGTGGCTGTCAAATATAAGGAATATATTTATGTTTTCAAGTCAACTGAGCTGTAGAAAAAAATGCTACAATTGGAAAGTCAAGTCCCAGTAGAAAAGGTCAGTATTTTGGTTGCCCATGCAACTTTGTCTCCATCATTGAATCAGAATAGTTTGGGTTGGAAGGGACCTTAAAGTTCATATAGTTCCAACCCTCTGCCACAGGCAGGAACACCTTCCACTAGATCAGGTTGCTCCAAGCCCCGTCCAACCTGGTCTTGAACACTGCCAGGGATGGGGGAGCCACAGCTTCTCTGAACACCCTGTGCCAGCACCTCACCAGCCTCATAGTAGGCGTTTTTTCCTAACATCTATTTTAAATCTACTTAGGCTTAGAGGATATTATGGAATGAGGCTCTGTATTCCAGAGAAAGCTATTGCACTTTGGATGAGATAATTAAATATTCATCGGCCTTGTTGGTTGAGAATACATACCTATAGCCCTTTTGGGACCAGACAGTGAGAATTGGTTCTGGTTTCTTCTCTAATAGTTATTGATTCATCCCAGGTAGAACAATTTTAACAGAGGGAGTGAGGAAGCCCTACCCCAGAGTATTTTACAGCCTGGTAACAGGGGCAGTCTGCTGTGAGGTTAATTGATGGGCATTTAAATCCGTTCAGGCAGAAAAGAGAATCAAAGCTGCGTCTCTGATATTCCTCATAACAATGAACCTACTGTGTAAAGCCTCGTCACCATTTTGTGTGAGACCCTCTCTGTGCTCTTAAAACGCTTCCTGTATAAGCTTTAACTGTTTGTGTCTCTTCATGAGGGGCAGCATCGTATTTTACAGGGTATGCAATGTTCAGTGGCCACCTGGAACCATACTGTGTGAACTCTTCCCATTAATACCAACCTGTTAGTAATTGAATCAATACTGGTTCATTTTGTGTCAATTGAGAAATTCATACAGCTAGTAACATAGAGCTACAGTACTTCAATAGTATGCAAGGGATTTAAAAGGAAAACCAAAAAGTGTAGGGAATGACAGAACAGTTTGGAAGGGACCTCAGAGTTCATCTAGTCCAAACCACCTGCTCAAGGAGGTCCACCTACAGACAGTTGCCCAGGACCAGGTCTATACAGCTCCAGAATATCTCCAAGGATGGAGACTCTGCAGCTTCCCTGGGCAACCTGTGCCAGTGCTTGGTCAACCCCATAATAAAGAAGTATTTCTTGGGGTTCAGAAAAAAAAACAAACTCCTGTGTTTGAGTTTGTGCCCCTTGTCTCCGGTACTGGGCACCACTGAAAAGAACGTGGCTGTTCTCTCTCTTTGCACCCGCCCTTCAGGTATGTAGAAACATTGATGAGATCCCCCTAAGCCTTCTCTTCTCCAGGCTGAATAGTCTAAGCTCTCTCAGCCTTTCTTCATAGGAGAGATGCTCCAGTCCTTGAATTATCCTCGTGGCTGTTCATTGGGCTCTAGTAATTTCATTTCTCTCTTGTACTGGTGGGCTCAGAACTGGCCACAGTACTCCTGTGTGGCTTCACCAGTGCTGATCAGAGGGACAGGATCTCCTCCCTTAAACTGCTGGCAACACTTTGCCTAAGGCAGCCCAGGATACCATTAGCCACCGTGGCCACAAGGGCACGTTGCTGGCTCATGTTCAACCTGGCACCCAGCAGGACTCCCAGGACCTTTTCTGCCAAGTTGCTTCCCAGCCCCAAGCATGTTCTGAAGCATGGGGTTGTTTTTCCCCATCTGCAAGACTTCACACTTCTCTCTGTTGAACTTCATGATACTCTGCAAGCCCATTTCTCCATCTTGTCAAGGTCCCTCTGCATGGCAGCCCAACCCTCTGGCATATCAGCCACTTCTCCCAGTTCAATGTCATCCACAAGAATGAAGTACGAAAAATACAAAATTAGAGTAAGAGAAATCTTCCAGGCCCTGCAAAAATGGTAGATTAGGATATGGGAGATCAAACATTGCTATAGACATTGCCATCCTAAGCTCTGACATAGTGAGGAAATGCTGTTAGCTACGATCTGGGCAAATTATGGTACACCACAGAAATAGGGAAGTCAGTATTATACACAAAGGAATCAGACACAGTGACACACTTCAGAGCTAGAATTATATAGTGAATATAGAGGGCCTATAAGGGTGCTGGAGAGGGATCCAGCATCAGGGACTGTAGTGATGGGACAAGGGGGAATGGGTTTAAACTTAAATAGGGGAAGTTCAGGTTAGATATAAGGCAGAAGTTCTTTAATGTGAGGGTGGTGAGGCACTGGCACAGGTTGCCCAGAGAAGTGGTGAATGCCTCATCCCTGGCGGTGTACAAGGCCAGGCTGGACAGAGCCTTGGGTAGCATGGTCTAGATTGAAGTGTCCCTTCACATGGCAGCGGGTTAGAACAAGATGATCTTACGGTCCCTTCCAGCCTTAACCAGACTGTGATACTATGACTGACTCAATAGTGTGGCAGGAGGGAGGTAGGTTTGGTTCTCTGCCAAATCGGTAACAGTAAAAGGAAGGCACTGTAATAATAATTAAGATAATGGCAGAATTAGGAGTACTTACAGTTTTCATTGCTCGAGGCACTGGATGTATATCCATGAATAATAGTCTCTGTACCATATGTTGACTGTTTTCTTTTAAGTTGAGGGAAATACATAGGGGAAATAGCACTGACTTTTGGTCTCTTGCCTACTCTAAGAGTCACAGATGATAATCTAATAAGCAACATTCACTCAATATTACTTTCCTGTAATCTCTACTCTCCTTAATATGTACTGAGATTATATGGAATCTATCAATAAATACAATAATATAATTACTAGATTTTTTACTATCTAAAATAAGATTGCTATCACAATAGATACACACTTTTTACTCAGAACATCAAACGAGAAGATATTTATACAGTATTTCTCTGGATAGATTTTGTTCAAGATTCATTTTTGCAGTATCTAGCCCATTCCAAAGCCATCTCTTTTGGGTTTTGGATTTGTTTTTAGGGAGACACAGTGGGGAGAAGGCAGTAGCTAGAGCAAGTACTACATTACAAAAAGTAAAGAAAGTAAAAAGAAGTTTGCTGAGGGGAAATTGTGGGAATGAAAAGTGAAGAAGAAAGGAGAGATTCAGTGCGGAGATTCAGATTTTGAAATGCAGGGCACTCAGTTTAAAGGAGATTGGGGAGCCGCTGAAGAGTGGGTCAGGCTGAATCAAAGTGATGCACTGTAAGTAGAATATTGTTCACAGTTTTTATTGTAGAAGTCAGAAATTGTGTTAGATATGAAGAAAGGAAACACAGTTTGATGAAAGAGCTCATAGTGAAGGCAGGAGAATGCTCCCCTGGAGAAGTGGATTCTAACTTTGCCTCTGGAACCACGTTCCTGTGTGATGCTTGCCATGTTTCATAAGCTGTTTCTTCACAGAGCAATCATGATGAGTTTTATCTTAATTTTCTGGGTACCTGAGTGGAAACCCAGAGGTCCAGTTTCTGGAAACACGAAAAGTTCACAGCTGCAACTGGAGTAAGTGATCACTCTGTCTAAAGCAGAACCTGATTCTTAACAGAAGTCCATGTTGTTGCTGCAATGTAAATATGACGTAATCTTTTTGTCATGATAAAGAAACAGAAACACACATGGGAAGAGCTTCACCCAGAGCAATCCTACAAAAACGAACCTCAGTCCCAAATTATCCATGATTTATGTCCAAAATAAAAGTTAATTCACAAGTGAATCAGATTATTGAAAAAAGATGATTTTTGCTTGCTAAGAAAGATCATTTGTTAAAGATGATGTGGTTGACATTCAAAGTCAGATTGCGTCAGCTTTGAGAGAATGAACTGTAGTGAGGTTGCTGATATTAGTAGCAAGAAATTCTCTGGGTTGCTGTTAAAGAAAACCTTTAAATGAGTAATTTTAGCTAAAATATAAGGCTTAAAAAAAACCAACCCACCCCAAAACAACCCAAACCAAACCCAAAATCAAACACTGTCTTATTTGAATAAAAGTATTATTACCATTGCTGCAGTTCCTTAACAAAGGGCTGGCGTTGTAGAGATAGACAAACTGTACCAGTTAAGTCGTAAATGTAAAGATCTGCAACTAAATGTTGATTCTACTCTCCTTTGACCCTAATGTCAGTTAAACACCCAGATTGTCTAACATTTCTGCACCACAAGCTCTTTCCTTTTTCTTACATAGCAGCCACAGTATGTGAGAAGACATAATAAGATGCGGTGCTTGGATTTACTGAGCATAAGATGCCCAAAAAGTTTCTTATGCCAGAAGTTTCTTATGCCAAAAGACAGCATCAGAAACTCTTTCCTTTAGCATTGCATTGTGAAGATGTGCTTCAGGTTACAGAGAAGGGCATGGGCTTCACTGCTGACTGTTGATGTGACTTGTAATCTTTCAAGAACCATTTGGTAGCCCTAAGGATGATCAGAAGGGGTTAAGGTGAATTTGAAGATAAACAGTGGTTTGGACACTTACAGGAAATGAGCAGTAAAAACAGAAGGAGGGAGCCTCATTTTCTTGTTTATCCTCTGTTGTCACTGTTTGGAAATCAACATTTTTTTCTCCAGAGCCTGCAAAAGTACTTTATTTGTGTGAGGTGTTTGCCAGAACACTGCAGGATACATCACTCCTTCACACCTTGTCTCCTACAATGGGGATTTCAGAAGAAAGTTTCAGGTCATGGGAAAAGACAGTTGAACGGGGCTCAGATTGACATGAGTTGTTTGAGTGACAAGAATATGAGTGGATGTTGAAATGCCAACCTGGGGCTGTGACAATGACAGATAGGTCATTTGTAGCCAGATTTAACAAGATA